TATTTTCTTTATATATATATATATATATTATTTTTTTTTAATTTTGATCCCCTTCCCGTATATAATCGAAAAATTAAAATATAATAATAATAACAATGAAAAAGTAAGAGAAGGCAGATAATATATTGAACGCCGTTTTCCAGGTGGACCGGCGATAGTTCCATCGGTACCTGCTCCACAGTCCACGGGATTAGGACTGGATCTTCTCGGAGGCGGTTTAGATGGAATTCTGAGCAACACCGATCACACGAACCCTGCGCCAGTCGTTTCCCAAAGTACAACGGGTCTCCTCGGCGATATATTCGGCTTCAACCAAGGTCCCACATCTTACATACCTCCTAAGATTAATTGGCTACCAGCCGAAAAGGGCAAGGGTTTTGATATCTGGGGCACTTTCTCGAGAAAGTAAGTTTAGAATATTTAAATTAACGATTTAAATAATTAACATAAGGCATATTTAACGCATTCACCCGATTATAAATAAGTATATGTTATTACATAATGTTATATGATGTACGATTTGTCGATGTTGCAGGAACGGGCAAATTAGCATGGACATGACTTTCACGAATAAGGCAATGCAACCTATGGGAGGATTCGCGATACAGCTCAATAAGAATAGTTTCGGACTGACGCCGGCGGCCCCCTTGCAAGTACCAGCTCCTCTCAATCCCGGAGCGAGTATAGAAGCGAGCATTATATTGTCCACTGCGGGCGCGGTGCAACGCATGGAACCCTTGAACAATCTTCAAGTTGCTATCAAAAACAACATCGACGTTTTCTATTTCGCGTGTATAGTACCCATGAATGTATACTTCGTGGAAGATGGCCAATTAGATAAAAGAGTATTTCTTTCGACTTGGAAAGACATACCTGCACAAAATGAGGTATAATTCTATTTCATGGATTTTTTTTCAATATACCAATAGATAGAATATATAATGAGATTTATAAATTGAAGATTACTTTTAATGTTCAAGAAATACACACGTATCACTTGCAGGTACAATATACGCTAAATGGAGTAATATTGACTGCGGATCAAGTTGTGCAAAAAATGCAACAAAACAATGTCTTTACAATTGCCAAGAGGAACGTGGAAGGGCAAGATATGCTTTATCAATCTCTCAAATTGACAAACAATGTCTGGGTGTTAAACGAGTTGAAAATTCAGCCAGGCAACCCTGATGTTACGGTATGCGTTCGTAAATAATATCTCATTTTAATTTTTCTAACAGTTTTTAAAATAATCGCATAGAAAGATTATAATGTCCTACATATCTTGTATATTTACTTTATATTATATTTTACCACAAGTTTCTTTCAGCATTTCTTGTCATAATCATTTCTTCTCTTTTTCATTACAGCTATCCCTGAAATCTCGGTCTGTAGAAGTTGCTTCTGGAGTATTTCAAGCATATAACGCAATCTTACATTCTTAAGATTTTTTTCATAAATTTAGGATATTGCCATATAATATACGAATTATAAGACATAACGCAAGCATGCGCAGCAGCTTATTTCTAGAAGCTATCTATGTTACATCCACGTATTGTGCATGAGATTCGAATATCCTGAAACACAGTGCTATAGAAATTTCTCTTCTTCCTTCTTTGTTGCAAATTATTGAATTTATTATCAAAACAATCACGAATGTGTATGGAAATAAAAATTTATGATTATATATATATATATATATATGTTTTTATTCATGTATCCGTTTTTATTTTATACGTAAAGAAATACGTAACTTATATTGGATGTATATTCATTTGCAATCACAAAAGCTATCATATTAAAATTAATGTTAGAATTTTTAATTTTCAAAAAAAATTTCTTAGTAAAAATTTTATAAAAAAGAAAAAAATTTAATCTTAAAAGTTTATAGATATAGAAATTAAGCTTTAAATTATTTTTATTAAAATATTCTTTGAAATTAACTAAAAAATATAGTAACTTTTATTTTAATCACGTTTTTTTTCTAAATTTAATTTTTAACATTAAATAACTGCAGTTGATTTACTATTAAAATTTGCAATTACAAAAGCTATCATATTAAAAAGAAATGTTATCACATTCTGTTTTCTGTGTTTCCTGTAATACATTCAGTATATTAGTAGGTCGACAGCAAAACAATGCTAGAATACATAATGTGATTGTATTTATTTATCGAATATAAAGAGAAGTAATACATCGCGCACAATTAACATTGCACTTTTCTTCTAAAAGAACAGCCCTCGGTTAATCTTGCTTTTCCACCTGTTGGTGTGCAAAGTATTGTGCGACATCCATCACATTCCACTGGCCTCTGAGCATGTGAGAAGATGGTTTTAATAGCATAACAGCCCGGGCATTTTACATCCATGAAATAACTATTAGGCTTCTGTACAAGCCTCTTCAATTTGTGTTTCCTCTTTTCCTCGATGGGACTTGGATGGAGGAAATCCCTAGCCAAAGGCATTCTGTAAAGCAGATAAAATATTTAGAAAATTTCTGTTTAAAGCAATTCATGAATTAATTTTGTTAAATATATTTTCTTACATATGTATATATATAATTTGTTATATTGAAACGTAAGACAAATATTGTACACAATATTGTGCAATCTTGCATTGAATTAATGACATTAGGATTGTGTGATAAAAGAAGCAAATTGTTTCATGTATACGTATATAATTTAGTCTATTAGAAAAAGAACCACTGTAATTCTATTAGAAATTCTATTTTATTAGAAAAGAATATTGTGCAATCTTGCGTCAGAGTGATATTAGAACTGCATGATAAAACAAATAGTATAATTGCAAACTGTGCAAATTTAATTTGTTAAGCGCCTTACTGACGTAGGAACAACAATTAGAACTGATTAGTGTATTATACAATATTTTTCTAATATACAATGGATGATGCCGCGGCTAAAGCGCAATGGCATGCCGCTACGATATGCACGTGAATAACCCATCTACGAGTAAATTATGTCCATCGATTCGTAAATAAAAAAAAGTCCGAGTAATAGCGAATAAAACGAAGGGTACACTTACGTGAATTGTTCAGTATTTCACCTTAAATTCGATAATTACAATTGTAACCACGTGTTTACTGGGCAATGTAACGTACTGGAAAGGAACATTAGACGACTCGAGACGAAACATTTAAATCCCTACGGCATCAGCATCAGTACTGCCAACTGCATTTAGTTTAAAGCACAGTTATCTATAGCTGTGTTCCGAAATTCACTGCCAGTACTGAAAATCTACAATATACGTTACGTAAACTATAAATTTTCAGTACTTGCAGTGAATTTTGGAACGCAGCCTATACTACAACTAGAGATTTGCGCGTCACAAACATGCTTTAAGGCCTGTTTTACAATACGTCGTATGTCGGCGTCGGATGTCGTTTGTCGTTTGTCGTACGTTGAATGTCGGATCTGAATACGACTTGTCATTCTACAATATAAGGTGAGTTCCACTTGGCGATCGCAACGCTTCTAGAATCATTTTATCCTCGTTTAACTTTCGATGAAAAACAAGGATAAAATGATCCTTGAAGCGTTGTGATCGCCAAATGGAACTCACCCATAGTCGTAAGTCGGTGCAACAACAAATATAAAAATGGAAAGTAGAGTGATGAAAAATTATTTAAATCTATTATTAATTTTGTTACATATAACAAAAATTAGATTATGTTTAAGAAAAAGACGCAAAATAACAAAAAGGTGGTGGGTAAAACTAGAGTCCCTATATATAGAGTCTGGCCACTCGATTAGTTTTGGAAAAACATGGCAGCGGTATATGTATAGACGCATCTTGTGTTTACCATATTTATGGAATAAAACTTTCATTGACTACACCTTATTCGACTACAAATTGATAGTATTAATAAAAGCAGAGTGAAGCCTATAAAAGTAAGTACAATTATTTGGTATATGGTTTCTAAAATAAAATATTTAAGAATAATGATATTATAAAGAATAGGATTTGTCATAAAAATTGTAATTCTAACCTTACATTGTTTTTAATAGTTTTATTTACAATGAGTTTTATTTATAATAAGTTTTATTTAAATGAATTTTATTTATTATTGTGATACAAACATTATTGTGATACTGAATATATAAGTAATAATAATATGTACTGTAATGATATGATTTTAAGTATTATTAGTTAATTTTTCTTTATTTTTTAATTAAAAATTTCTAGAAAAAATAATATTAATTGTTATTAATTTTCTTGTTCTATTTCTTTTCAAATTATTATACTTTCTATAAGAATTCCTATTGGTTCCGCCATGTTTTTCCAAACTTTGTTTCGACCAATAAAAATAAACAAGCGTGGCCAGACTCTATATATAGGGACTCTAGGTAAAACCACATATTTCAAGAAATATGAGACAAACTCATGGTACTCATCAAATATTATTTACATATTTTTGGACGAATAATCATGAGTTTTTTAAACTTACAAGGATGTCGGTGCAACAATTTGATCACTTACATGATCTCTTATATTATATTTGCATCCATTCGTAAGGCCTATTGCAAGTCGGAAGCCGGAAAAGATAAGAGTTGAGGCCTGTTCTACAATACGTCGTATGCTTAGAACATATATACTGGAAGGGGCATAGCCTATCTAAATATACATAACAAAAGTGTCCCCTACATCTATCTATCCTTGTCTGTACAAAATCGGTCAATGCGCTTGCGCGAGTGAATAATCGCTTAAGTTGAAAGTAGAAAGATTTAAAATAGGTGGAAAGCATTTGAAAATTTGATTATAACAATTTATTCTTTAAGTTATATTATAATATAATTGCAATATATTATAAATTATATATAATAATATGTAGTAATATGTAATAATAGTCTTGCAAAATAAAATAAAAATAATGATGCACATAACCAAAAACAAATACTGTAATGAACAATAATTATATACAGGATGTACAGGATGAACTAAAATAAGATAACAAATTTTGAGGAGCGAGACCAAACATGAAAAAAAATTTGACATTAACATATGTCCGTCAAACCCACTGTTACTGATATAAAATATATATTATTAATGAAAAATAAAAAAGTAATATTTATTATGTAATATTCTCGCTCTACTAAAGTTTGTTATCTTATTTTAATTATATCTTGTATATATAGTAACTAGTACAATAAAAATTATTATAATAAATAATAAAAAAAATATTTAAAAACTTCATTGATGTTTTAATCTTTAGGAAATCTAAACGTTGTGGGCAGAATATATAATAACATTTTAGATTATTTTAATGTACGTTATACGTACAATATACCTTTTATATTTCTAAATTAATTCAAGATATAACCTCAAAGCTAAGAGCTTTAAATTACAAAGTAAATCTATACTTACGCATAAAGAAATATTTTGCCACGGTTTGTTGAGCTACATAAAATGCAATAACGTCCCATTTTTACATATATTTTTATTACTTTATTACTATACCCGATACTATACTTTTTTATGATTATTTCTTTAGACTTAATTATATTAGAAGGCTTGTCATAGATAAGCTTGTCTAGTTTGTCATCACACACATCAACATAATCGACGCATGCGTATTGCAATAAAATGTACAGACAAGGATAGATAGATGTTGAGGACAACGGCAAGTCAGCTATGCCCCTTCCAGTATATATGTTCTAAGGTTTTACGTAAGAAACCTTAAGACTGAAAGACTGGTATTTTACATTAGTATTGTAAATAAATTTTTTTCTTAATATTGGTAATAAATATGATATAAATTAACAAATAATAAAAATTGAGAGTCAATACTGAAAAATCAAAAATTGAGAATCAATATTAATTCAATATCGATTAATAGCCCACATAGCAAAATTTCATCCTACGGATGTCCCTGGGATGTAATGTAAAGGATTTTAAGATATCCCTGGGATGTCTGTATAAAGCCGTAAAATATCCATAGGGCATCTGTGGGATATCCGAATGTCCGCTTTTCAGATACCCGTAGGACATCCAAAAATAAATCCCTGGGATATCCTACATATGATTAAATTAGATCCCAACAATGTCCCCTGGATATTTTTTTTTATTCAGATAAAATCCAAATAAAATTATTGAATATAGGATGGTGTTCATAATCCGATCTTATATTCGAAATCATTTTAAAACCTTAATTCAATTCAACAAAAATGGTTGCGACAACATTATTCATTAGTTGAATG